TGTATGACTTATGGTGTGTCACAACACTTGACGAAAGTTAAGCATTCATTTGATAGGTTTCTCATGTGATGAGCGAAAATCTAGTTTAAGTAAGATTTGAAGTAAGCGGATAAAGCCTTACATTCGACTTCATCAGGGATACATTCACATTTAAGCCTAAGAAATAAAAATATTTTCTTTCCTTGGAAATAAGCATTTGTCCTCAAATCTGTGCAGAAACTTTGAAGCTAGCCCTATAGACATACCTGTGAGCACTTATGTAAAGGGCTGTTATGGTATTTTTTTTTCCTTCACCAAGGTGTGTAGCGTGTTGGAGTTCTTCTTTCCAGTGAATCTCTATTGAATGCACGCATACATGGCCTGAAAATAGAGAAACATACATGAAAGAGATGAAGGAATTGCTACAGCGAATGCAACTGCTTAGCGCTAAACTCTCGTCATGTAACGGCAAAGTGTGTATGTAGATTCTGCTCTTGTTCTCTGCTATGTATTACTAGTTGTTTGATTCAGAAATGCCGTTTGGAGAGGTCAGTTGAGAATCTAGACTCCGAAAAACTCGATCCAGATCATAAGATTCATGGTCTTTTCCTTTTTGGACATACTTCAGTCTGATATATTGAAAGCGGTTATATTGTAATATTTCAGAACTGGAAAATGAGCGTGGAAGCCTTTCAACGCAGCTGAGAGCCACACCTGGACAGGTATTTTTTCCACCTAACATCGCATATTTTTTAAAACGTTCATTAGTTTGTAACATTTGAAGTGTCCGGTTTTAAATGTAGACTTTAAATAACCATAACTTTTTCGTACTACTTTTTATTGATTTAAGCACCATTAGAATCACCACATTTTTTCCAAAAAGAAACAACTTTTGCAATTCATTTAATTTAAAGGTTCTCGATTCCAGTGTCGATGAATTCCTTAAAGGCATTTTCAACGGTTGTCTAGTCGTTGAAGATTTCACCGTCAAAAACTGGACCAGATGCTTAAGAAAAAGAAAATCCGTTGCCAACAAATCTGGCAAATAGCGTGTATGTGGGTAGAGTTTCGGTAGAGTCGTTGCGAATCAGTAGTGAATTGCACATTTCCGGACGATGAGTTTTTGTCTCCTTCGTTGAGCTTGTGTGGAACCCATCGGCCTATTTTTGAAGTTTACCAATCAACTGTGAAATGGTCCTGGCACTTGTTCCAAACACTGTTGCAAATTTCGGGACCGTCTGACATGGATTTAATTCGGCTAGAGTACGAAGTGCCTCATCGTTAACCGTAATTTCTGGCCTATCACGCTCGTCGTTTGTGAAGCTCTCGTTCCCAGATTCAAAGTTTGTGTACCAACGACGAATGATATTTTCGTTAACGAAGCCGTCTCCAGGCACGGCATTGGTATTCCGAGCTCCTGCCGCGGAAGTACGTCAACTTTTGCTGTCGTACAAAAAAAGTACACGAAGATCATGCTGATTCGTATTGAACTTAAACCTGTAAAAATGTTAAAATAATAAATTTCGAAAAAAACCAATACCAGTTTAGAAAGAGCAGACTTTGTGCTTTAAATATATGTATTAAACATATATAAATAACGAAGTTTTTATTTTAAAAATTGCGCGGAAAATTAAAACAATAGATCCGGTCATTTCATGTGTTACAACCTTATAAGTTCTTTTCCCGGTTTGAAACTGAGCGATCGAATTTTTTAATTCTAATCCACCTCTGGCATTATGTGTTAAGTTCTTGGTTGACATGTTGAAGAATGAGTAGCTTTGTGAAGACAGCTGGCTGCGTTAACTCACCACCTAAGTTGAGAACGTTTTGCGTTTAACAGTTGACTACGACTGGGACGTCATCTGCCTTTGAGGTAAGAATAGCTTTGCATTGTGACGGTGAGAAATAACTAGGCTGTTTAGTTTTTGTACGCTTCTTCATTCTTATATTTCATTAAATATTACATGTTTTTTTTGCAAGAAATTTGTTGCTTCTCGAATATAAATCTCAAATGCATTTTTCTCAGTTCATTCCAAACTTCGTTAATGAAAACGGAAACCATCGGCACACTTATCGGTGACATTGCGCTGAGAAATCCAGGGTTTAATTCAGTCTTGGGAGTTGTTGCCTGAGTTTAGTTTCCTAATTGTTTTAATCTTTGTCATGCTGATTATACAAATTGAGATACGATGTCATCGTACCGCAAATGGAAGCCTTTCGCCTGATCCATTGCCGATAGTACGCGTTGAAATTCTTGGCGTTGACCGATATCTTCGGCCTAGTTTAAGGTCGTAATGTTTCCGGAAAAGTTTAAGAAGTCGTTTTTTAGGGTTCCATTTACTGTGCAAGAAAACCTCTTCATAGCCTCTTGAAGACTTATGGAGAATGTTCTTGATTGTCGATTGTCGCACGCATGCTTATTGCACGGATCACTCTTACTGCTCAAATTAAGAGCAGATTTCTTAGCGAAGAACTCCTAGCTCCTATTTGGAGTCTTTTGATTTCCCTTACTCAAAAGTTTTATTCACTTGTAGCAAAGTACCGTAGCTCTGCACACGTCCAGAGCAACTAGATGCTTCTGAATCGCTGTGCCTTAACCTGCTCAAATTAGCATATCTATTTGATCATCGCCGATATCGGCTGATTTCCACCGACTTTCTTGGCAAACTTAGTATTGGTGTTGTGATGGCGTTCTATGTACTAAGTTGCCTCTGCAGAAAATCGTTGTGACTTCCATTTTCGAGTCCTTTCTCCTGCAGAAAAAAGAACATTATTTTATGTACAGCTTGACCGGCAAAGGTCACAATGTTCATCAAATCTACATAGTTGTTTCATAATTGGTAGGGTGTAGTCTCACTCATACGAATGTTCCTCCTTTTCCTCCTCCTGTTCCTTCCTTTAGTTGAAATTTTGACGACTCCGTACAGTTTTATCCCAATCCTAGGGTTATAGCGAGTTTCGGACATCGTTGCACACCTGCAGTCCGGAGTTTTGCAAATATCTCAGCATCATTGTTATTGTTATTATTATTATTACTTTGTTATTGGTATTGTTCCTACTTCTCATTAATGCTAGCATTTCCTTATATCGCACTCAAAGATTGTGGCTGAAGATTGTTTTTATGATTGCTTTGTCACTTCGATGTTTTTCTTCAATAAGTAGACACAACAGTCCTCACCCATGTATTACTCTGTACGGCTGCTAACCACTAACTGACTGAAACACAAGGAATAAACGGCTCTGAAGAAGGCGAAACCGCCGAAACGTCAGCTATTGTATCCTAATAAATTCTATAATAACAACCTCGTGTCTGCTTATTGAAGGAAAACATCGACTTATAAATCAATGCCGCGGTTAACAGAAAGTCGGTCCTGGGAATTGCTTTGTTACTGTTGACCTTATTTGATAAACTATTACAATGCCACTTACATAGACAACACATCCACTGCACTTCCTGAGTACATGGTATTTCAGCATATTTGAATTTTCACTGTTTGACAAATATATATTTACAAATACCATCACTACCAACAATTCATTTTCTTTATCTGAAACAGCTTTTTCCCAATAGCTACTCCTGCAAGACTCTTCCGCATCCGTATTCATTAAGAGTTAAGTGAAGGCTGTTGGTGCCGGATCTTCTCTTGTTGCGAATTCGGCACAATTCTGAAGTTCTTCCACGACCAATCAGTTCGTTGTGTTCAGAAACGCTTTCTCGATTTATCGCTCATTTAGGGAAACCATTCCATCCAGACTGCTCTAGTTATGGATAACGTGTCTTCCTTTTCAGTAACGTAAGAAATCGGTTCGGTTCCATTACGGGACGGTGACATCGCGAAGATGCTGATGAAGCAACATCCTCTGTTTCCGTTCTTCTGTTACGCGATTTTCGCGTTCACTGGTGATTTCTTACTTTAAAAATGAATCTTCATGAATAAAACTTGCTAAGAAGTAAACAAGACCTGAAGAGAAAAAATAGAAAAGGAATGGTAAAAAGTAGAAAGAAAAAATAAGGAAAAAGAATGATCTCGTTTTTCAATACTCTTTCCTGTTTCCTCCTTGAGGTCTAGCTCTGCAGTTCTACAAACATTAGTCTCTACAAGTCACTGGCGTCGAAGTCACCCACATCAATTGCAAAGTAGGGTGAGATATTACTAACACTAATGCTTGTGATTTTTTTCTAGGCTTATAAGCTCACGAATAGGACGAGATAGTGACCAGTGCTCTTTGATCGTAACTCGAATACGCCATGATTTAAGCAAGTAGGCCATCTTACCAAGCTTACCAAGGCCAGCTTAAAAATCGACACCGACTTTGCGCAAAAATTATTCCAACAACCCTGTTTGAAACAGTGAGTGCTAAAGAAAAACAGCTATGAAACCGGTCATAAAATTTCGGATAGAGGATAATAGATGTCCTCAACGTTCACCAATCTCTGTGCGATACGCCGTGTATTCGACTTCATCAAACGTTGTTGGTAATTGAATCCACACCTGGCCTTCATAATGGCTCGTGGTGCCTTACCAATGTATCGATGCTGTTGTCTTCGTAGTCAGGTCTCGGAGCAGTTTGCCGAACCTGGATGGATAGAAACCCTGGTGAGTCTCTGCACGGGACCGATCCCATATGTCTTCCAGGGTCTCTGACCACTGCGCTACACACGCCCAAAATTTAGGAACTCAATGAAATACCGTTGATTCGTTTCCGGTTCTCTGACCAACTATCTGTTAATGCTTACATTTTCTAATGTCAAAACTCGCGCTTTGAACTCACGCAAAGAAATAGGAAAAGCTCATATTGACTCCTGACTTCTACTATATTTATTCTTATGTTTTATATTACAAGTGCACAAACATGCATGAAATAAAAAAGTAGCAACTTCAGGATGAACGAAGTTAACTCGTTAATAGTGGCATATATAAATATATATATATATATATACACGAGTATCAAGGCATAAACAAAACAAGAGATCTAGTTTATAACCGGGTCAAAATTGAGGTAGTACAAGACTCTGTTGGTTACGAACCACTGGGTTTCTCTCGAGGCCGAGCTCTTCTAGTGTCTCCACGACAAATTTTTCGAAATTCTCTGCAAAGAACAAAAAGAAATTGCAACAAACCGTAAAACGGAAGAAAAAAAAATCACTGGGCGCTGTGACGGAATACGTTCATGGCCACATCAGATGGCAACCAATGTCCATTATGACAATATTCACAAAACGTAACCAGCTATAACAATACCATTACAAGTATTATCCTCACCATTCGAGTTTTCAAAACAGTCAGTATTCATTGTATACTCACAAGATTGTGGAATATCGAGTGAACAGCGTGATAACGTGCGTTAGGCGCAACTAAACCGGTAAGTCTTATTGTGCCACAATGAGCCAAGCAATCATAAAACTCCCGCAACTCTTCACCCTGCAATGGCGACTATTGAGAACTTGAAAAAACTATTAGTAAAACCAAGCCATGAAGTGAGCAATATCTTTCAGTTAACGGCAGCTGCCGCACGACGACTATATTCATAGAATTAAGGTGGGACAATCTTAACCCTTTTTATTTACTGCCTTTTTCCTCTTAACGGCAGAGTATGTTGCGAAATATAACTCGTATGAAATGCTGAGATATTTGCAAAACTCCGGACCGCAGGTGTATGCAGTGGGGAACGAACACGTGCTTTTGTCCTTACCGGGGAGTAGCGCACTTCACCACCACACCATCCGGATCCTTCGTTTTGCCTGTCTCTCAGCTAGTTCTATCGATCTTTTCGCCATCAGCAATCACCCGTCAACGGGATTGATCTGGGGAACCGAAATCGATATCGATAGAACTAGCTGAGAGACAGGCAAGACGAAGGACCCGGATGGTGTGGTGGTGAAGTGCGCTACTCCCCGGTAAGGACAACAGTGCGTGTTCGTTTCCCACTGCAAACACCTGCGGTCCGGTGTTTTGCAAATATCTCAGCATTTCATACGAGTTATAAGTTAGGACACTTCCTGGAATTATGACCTTACGAACTTATTTATTAAAAACAACGTTGATAGGTGGGTTCCTGCTAATACGATTTCAGACATTCTTTTACACAAAGTTCAAGTATTTTAATTTCAGTTTGGTGTCAAGTATACTGCGCACGTCATTGATATCACGACTGGCAGCATGTCAACGAGTCCTCGCAAGCAAGGCAGGAAGTATTGCTTAGCTAGGCACATCTCTCACAGAAATCACTTTCTTATCTTATTATACTAATGTAGCAAATTTACAACCTAGTTAACACATTGGTAATAATATACACTGGTTTCAATTCGAACGCATGGTAGGCATAGTAAACCGTAGGCACCGATTTTAATGCATTGCAATTCTGGTGGTTTATTCAGTCGCACAAATTTCTTTCTGTACTCAATCGATAGCTTCCTTAAAGGATAAGTGATAGAGTTCTCGGAGCTGATCAATCCCTGAGAGATGCGCCATTCGTTCGACTTTACTAAGGATCGTGAGCCAGTGCTGCTATCCTCCCAGATAAGTCTGGTACCAATTTGCCGACTCCGAAGGGACGAGAATCGATTCCATGTGTATTGCAGGGCACTACCGACCACTGCGCCACATGCGCCCATTAGTCTCCTTACTACAAATATTGTACCAACTGTGGTCCGAGAAAAGCTACGTTCTATAGCTAATCACCTGAAAAAACTACTTTTCGGAGAAACTTGTTCATGAAGCTATAAACATGTCAATGATGCTGCAAGAAACAGGAACTTTAAAAAGTAGTGGAGAGGTTAGCTGCCGCTGACACCCGACAATACGCAATACTTCCATAATTGGTAATTGACTAGGCATTGCACTAAGGATAAATTTAGTAGGATTAAACGGATAGATTTACGAAGAAAAAAACACTCCTAACTGCCTGCTACGGAACAAAACTTGTGAAAAAACGAAAAAGAGACTTACAAGTGCTTGAAAAACATCTCTTTTCGGGGACGAAACTAGCGAACGGGCCGCACAAATTTGGGCACCGATTGTTTCCACATAATCCCATCAATATATGCTTTCAAAAACTGCGAAAGAAGAATAACAGATCTGAATAAGTGCTAATAATGCTCACTCTTTAAGACCCTAGGAGTAATGAAAAACCAGTGCTAAGTACGGAAATGAATGCACAAATGAACTACATACGAAATAATCCGGTATTAAAAATTGTTCCTTCATAAACAGTACTGGAGTTCCATTTTTTCTACTGCATAGCGTAGATATCCCACTCTAAAGCAGGAAGTGACTTCGTTGCTGTTCCTAAGCAAAAGTTTCCGATGAAAAAACAAGCTTTACTTCGAATACTCCTTGGAAAAATGACAGTTCTGGTTTTGTCTGCTGTTCTAAAGTAAAAAAGACATCCGCATCACGGAGAACATTCATGACATCTTTGAAATGTCTCTTCGGTACTCCCTGCAAAAGAAAATTGACCAAGTGTTCAAAAAATATTAACATGAATGTAAAGCCTAAAAAGTTCCTAGTGTTCCTCTGCACTATGATTAAAGAAAAGCGCGGGCAACGCAACGTAAAGAACCCGAATAATTCGCTCACGGCTGTACATTGACCCTGTCCTGCTCCGACTATCCGACTAAACCTCCCATCTTCTCGTGGTCATAAATTTGGTAGCAGTGTTGTCCGGGGATCACAATCTAATCCTCAAAGGCCGGCAACTGCGTACCGTGAAGACCTGATGAACGTTCGCCACTCATGAACACATTGGCTCGTCTCTCCGCATGCTACCTGTCAAAATTCAAGGTTACCACTCAATGGAAAACGAGGAATACCGTGTTGTTGTCCAAAGAAGACTTCCACAATTATCGGCAAGAATCGCTCAATCTACTTGCTGTTTGTCGTCTACAAACTTTCCACTTGGGTCATTCTAAACAGTACTTACAGAACACTGGATGAAGAACAACCATGTGAGGCAGCATGGTTTCGAAAAGGATTCAGTATGACGGACTATACCCACAAGATAACTAGACGCATCGAGGTGTCACGACATTACAGAAGACCGCTCTGATCACTTTCATTGATTTAAACAAAACTTTTCAGTCAACTAAGATAGAAAAACAGTTATGAAAACTCAAGATAGCCAGAGCGTCCTAAACGGTATGTGGAGATTCTTGATGTGGTGTTTAAGAATTTCACAACCAAAACATCGACGATAACATTTTAACATCGACATAAAAAGAGGAGTTAGGCAAGGCGATACCATCTCACTAAAATTATTTACTGCCACCCTCGAGGACATCATGCGAACACTGGAATGGGAAAATATAGGAGTGAAAACCGATGGCCTCCAGTTACACCGTTTTTGCATTGTTGACGACATCATTCTTATAACCCCAAACGTTAGCCAAGCGGAACCAATTATAGAAGACTTCGACAAAGCTCGTGGAAAGATTTGTCATCGACTTACATACTTATTTATCTGGAGGCCCACTTTCACAGGTAGCGCGGGTCCCAGCACAATTTCTCCATGATAAACGGGATGACAGGTGGTAGAAGTGATACTGATCCAGTCGGTGCTCGTTCTCTGGTCATCTGATAGCCGGTTCTCTAGGTACTTCCATATACACACGACCAATATCCGGTTTAGCAGCCGTGCAAGTGGACAAGCAATAATTTACATGTCAGTTTGTATGCATTTCGTCAGATGGTTTCTGTAAAAACATAGATTTTGCGAAGATTGTTGACCGTGTGGTGGCTGAAATTTAGCACAATAGTTGAAATCCAACAAGGTTATGTTTTGATGCCACTTGGACCGCGACAGAAGTCAAATATATATCAATGTTTCATCAAACTTTATATGTTTCTATTCAAAGAGACAGCTAGTTTTAATCAGCTTCGTAGTTTCACCTCTTTAATCTTGGACGACGGAAAGGTGTAAAGTCGTAGCACTTTCCATTTGTGCACTTCTAAAGAGAATCATCACTCAAACGGTTGTGAAATTACTCAAACGAAATTACAAACATTATTACTGGAGAGTTTAGCAGAAACAAGTGTGTGGGTACAATGAGAAAGCCAATGAGCTACTGACTGCTTGAAACGTTATGCCATTTCAGAAAACTCATCACAGACAGCACCAAAATTGTATTTATCAAGAAAACTGACGTACCAGTGAACTTATACATGGAAAGGCCAATACTCAACGTGCTAACGAGATCTCCCCGTAGTAAACGAAATTGGACATCGAGATGATGAGCCATATCATCATAGTGTCCGTCAACAATAGCTCGCCGAAGGTATGGATGGGACTTCTTAAAAGTAGAAACGTGAAACCAAAAATTAAAACAATAACAAGTATAAAGAATATCGCAGTTTCTAGGACAGAATGATGAAGCCATTAGGAATTCATTGCCATCGATAGAGATATCTGGTTTTACTGGTTCGTCATTCATTGGACGAAAATCACAGGGCGGAGGATGACGTTCGCATTCTCGCCATCGTGGGTGAATAAATTTCCCTCTCCCTCCAAAGATATTATCGATGCTGTAATTGGACACACTACAAATATGACTCCGGTCACGAAAAGACAAGAAATACCTGCGTCACCTGCATTCCTGATAATGATGAAGAGATTCGAGCGCGCCTCAGTTGTGCTGCTATGTCGTGATTCCTATAGTGGTCCGATCGCTAGAGGAATACGAATAATCATAACCACACATGGCATGGCTTTTTATTTCATATACAGCAGTGGCTATTAACCTCACAGTTTTCCACCGTAGTACAGCTGACATTGCGGGTGAAAATGCTGAACACGTCAGATTACGTGACTTTGCCAACGTATGAATCCCTACCACAAGCCGCGGTTTCCCTGCAGCAGCACCACATACCTATTATGATGTAGCGGTACAACCTTGAGCGAGAATGGGAAGGCACAGAAAGCAGAGATAAATATTTATTCGAAAAGGATTGTATAACAAGCGCACGTCCAACCTTTCATCTGGATATTTATTCTCTTGATTGCCCATAACGGAAACAGACCAAACTCACTTAACAGTTGGGTGAAATGGATATCCACCAACTATTTTCTATGAAAGAAAAATTAGCAGCAAAACGCTGTAAAATTCAACAGATCTAGTTAATAGCACAACACATACATGTACAACATATACCTTGTTCGATTCCAATGCCGTGTCCTTTAACCATTGTTTGTTAGTCACTTCTTTCCAAAACTTATTTGGCATACCAAAAATCACACCGTACGTTGGTGTCCAGGCACCCGACTAGAAGTTTCAATTCACGGTTAATCTTATTGCAAAAAAAATGTTAATGAAAGAACGAAGACTTAACAAAATACTAAAAGATTTTCAAGTATTGCTATTCACAGCAAACCCACTATTCCTCGATGATAACTGTACTTGACGAAAACTCCATTATGACAACAAGGAAATTGCAAAAATCACAGTTCCACAAAGAAGATTCATCTATAGTTGGGTAACCGAACCAATCGCATACAGAAATAATGTACTTCATATGGTTGCTCATTTCCACCTCGTGTACCAGTTCATGGTGGGCACAATCAATGACGGAATAATTGGTAAAGGAATGTCTTACATGTCCCTCTGGATACTTGGAAGGTACCTCTTTACAAATACGACAAGCCTAAGCACACTTTTCATTCATTTCCTTCTCACATAATCATCGTCCATGGTGATATACGTGAGGTATGACTAATGTTTGCCACAAACTCGTCTGCCCATCTTTGGGTAGTTGTCCAGGAGGATACCTGTATTCTCTTTGAGTCTATTAGACTGTTCTTTTCGTCCATTCGTCGTCTTACTTACCTAATACATGACCTGCCCATCTGTACTTCGTAATCGATGTCTATTCTCCTGGATCCCAAAGATGAGATAGTTGCAAAACTCTGGACCGCAGGTGTCTATGGTGGGGAACGAACGCGCTATTGTCTCCTCCGGGGAGTAACGCGTTCACCACCACACCATGCGGGTCCTTTGTTTNTCCCCCACCATAGACACCTGCGGTCCAGAGTTTTGCAAATTTCTCAGCAACGTTGTGGTTGTATTTCGCTTAGTAACCTGCCATGAAAATTATAGAAGGCAGAAAACAAAACGTTAAACATTGTGATTTCAACTACAGCCATAGCTTAACTGGGCTCTATGCCGATTTGCGCTCTCCAGATCAACCCCGCTGACGGGTGATTGCTGTTGCAAAAATATCGATAGAAATAGATGAGAGACAGGCGAAACAAAGGACCCGCATGGTGTGGTGGTGAACGCGTTACTCCCCGGAAAGGATAATAGCGCGTTCGTTCCCCACCATAGACACCTGCGGTCCAGAGTTTTGCAAATATCTCAGCAACGCTGTGGTTGTATTTCGCTTAGTAACCTGCCATGAAAATTATAGAAGGCAGAAAACAAAACGTTAAACATGATGAGATAGTTTTCGAAGACCTGAGCTGGGTACTCCGGTTAAAGGTTGTGAGTGCCGGTTAAATTTCGAAGAAGTTCAGGTGCTCTGTGAGAGATGTGCAAAATTCTTTACGTTGAAGTATCAGCGCACGTCTGTAGTGCATAACAGAACACTGGTAGCATTGTTGGATCGGAAAGGTGAGCGCAAGGTTTTGGATCCATTACTTGATCGCTGGCTTTCGATGACAGACCCAATTGGCGTACATGCGGTTCTCGATCCTCTAATTCCTTCTTTATATTGTTCTGTATGTTTATTGGATGTACAAGGTACAAGTACGAGGTGGTTTTTGCGAGATGTGAGGCAGGCACACTACCCATTCATGTGAACTCTGTGCGGTTGGCCTCCACGTGAAACAGTCAGTGGAAGACTGTTCAAAAGAACCGAAAAAAAGAGTGCGAAGAACCTGCTTTGCTTCCAATGCGAATGGAATTTTAGTTTCGTGTTCTTTCGTTTTGATTATGGAGGTGTTTAGATGGGTCGATCGTAGTCAACGTGACGCTTGCAGACTCTGAAGAGGGCGAAATCCACAAACACAGCTTTTCACAATTCTCACACAACAATAAAAGATAAATTAACAACCCAATGTCTGCTAATCAAGAATACAGTGAATTATTCAGCTCAATTTGTTCGTCTTTGTCTAATGATTGCTGAGTGCCCTCTACACACTGTTAAAAAACCCAATCGTAGCACGCGTTATAATGTCGATCGAGAGTGGCATCTATCTTTTGTCCTGACCTTTATTGGCTACGAAGGTGTTTGAGAACACTAAAACGAATGAAACCTTATCAGCGCTCGTTGTCCGAGGAGTAGAGCCGCCTTGTACAACAAAACCCGCTGACTGTTATCGGAACTACAACACAAATATACAGGTTTTCCACCGAAGTACTACCACATGCAGAACAAAAGGGGTTCGTCAAGGCGATGCAACATTGCCGAAGACGTTTACTGCTGCTACTGCACCCCAATGGATTATGAAGTCACTCGATTGGACGAGAGTATGACAAGTATTGATGCAAAAGTCATATCAAATATTCGCTTCGCAAATGACATTGTCATCTTTTCGAGGAGTACCAGCAAAGCAGAGACGATGTTCGATGGGCTCAACGAAGCAGGAAAAGGGAATGTATTGCGGATAAATATGGGGAAGACCCACTTCATGAAGAACCCATTTTGTCAAGCACGAGCAGGATGATTCTTTGGAACGTCCTCCACTGATCCTATTATATAGGCTGCGAGATATAGATCTAATTTGTGGTTTCCAGCTCGAACTAAGTAGCCTACAATATTATCGGGTCGAAGTTATGCCTCTCTTAACGTTTTTGTCCCAACGCATAGTTCAGTAGGTAGAATCGCTGGCAGTTTTCTCCAGAGGATATTTCATGGTCCATGATGGAGCTTGTGGAAGGGAGAAGCATGCTCTAGAAACTTTCCCTTATTAATTCTATATCATCGCATTATGTGGTGTTAGTCTCGTTTTTGCTCATCAAGAGAGATAAGCAAGATATTATGGTTGCACAGATCCCGACGAAAACTCCTTCAGACCAGGTCGTTTTTGAGCTGCTTACCATAACTTTTTCTGCCCCTACCATTGTAAATTCTCCTGTAAGGACCTTCAACAGTTGGCATTATTATCAACCACATTAGGTGTGTTGCTAGAACAATAAACTGTCTCCACGACGTGTTATGGGTGTATTCGTTTGCTTTGGTTTCCATTACGTTCTGTGCAACACGAGATTTGATCGTATCTCACCGGTTGTCTCACCACCCGACATCCTAGACGGCAGAAACCAGTGTGCGAGGTACCGAAGCTGAACGATTGCTGGTTGTGCTATTTCTGGTTCCTTGGAATGTCGAGGTAAGCATAACTGAACCTTTCGACAGGTCGCCTCAATCACAATCATTCCTCGGGCCTTGTGGATCAGGAGATTTGCCGCCCCGCGACTAATTTGATATCAGAACGATATGTCTTAGAAGGAATTGAGAAATTATAGAGGTATGACTTTGTTAAGTGACGGAGAATAAAAAATTATTGAGGTGTTCCCATGCTAATACACGCTTTTCGTGAATCCTTTCAGCAAAATATTTGTGAATCTACTGAAGCAGTAGTGTCTACTGCCCCAATTACTGATCACAATAAAACAATAGTAAGTAGCTGCACAAACGTATTTTTAAGGCTAATATTCATTTCGATGGTCTAAATGAAGCCTTATTGACGTTTTTCTGTCAAACCAAATATTTATTTCTTTACTTACATGACCCGTCAACATATCTACAGCGCAGATCACAGCACTTCTTGCATTCGATTCGTCTTCCTGGCATTCATCGTCCAGAAAGGTTTTCGCACATTTCGCGCATTGTTTCGGTGTCTGCTCGAGGATTTCGCTTTCTTTGTGAATGTCGTAGAATGCTGGTAGACTAGAATCTTACAATCTTGGAGATAGCCCAGCTAATTCGCTCCCACGTGGACTGGAAGAAAGCACTGCGGAGAGGGTTGAACCAGCTCCTTCGCTTCCTGATCGAGGGCATCAGAAACCACTGCGTGTGAGGAAGCACAGTGGTAGTGATCGCGTTAATTACGCGGACGGTCCAGCGTCCCGCCCATGCACTGTTCTAACCTTTGGCCACCAAGCCTTTTATTTCTCAGGGCTGGAAAAATTGCTCTATATGGGAACGCCCTAGAGCTATTTCAGGATTCCATGAAATATCGACTCCAGCAGCACTCGACGATAATCGTGACTAAAATGAAAACTAAAATGAAAAATCCTCAAGCAGCATCCGAATCCATTTGCCAAATATTCGATGACCTTCGTGGATAGTGGTGGATGCGAAGAAACGAGTGAAATACAGTAAGATCCTCATAGTGTGATAGATGTATGTCGAGTCATGTAATAAACAATAAATGGTTTCTTAAGCCAATTTACATTTGCGGCACATTATTCGTAAGAGATACGAGAACGGAGCAATAACCATGCTCATTGAAAATGTAATAAACGAACCTACTTTGTGGAAATGATGCAGTCTATCACTTGACGAATCAAAACGTCACCGCCTTCGACATTTTCACCGCTGATTATACAGTATAAATGCTTCATGAGATTTGTGTTTGGCGCCACATCGTGAAAGGGTTGAAGCGAGTCGGTTAAATATGTAGGGATTAGCAAATTCAACCGCCTACAAAAATTAAGTGGCTACAATGTTTATCCTGAATGGAACATTGTTGAAAAGCATAAATGACTGGATTTCCAAAGCTATAACAATCGAAGTTTCAAAATTTACCACCGTCACATTTATCCGGTTATTGTGAACAAAAGTTAGTGCTTCCATAATATCTTCGTCGGAAGCAATGAGTTAACCCACAGAAGAAAGTGGAAAAAAAAGACTTAGCACAAGTAAATTATGAAATTGACTGATTAAAGTATTGAAATGCAGTTCACTAAATCACTGAGAACACAAACTGTATGATTTAAACCAAGACCGTCTTCAGCCGAATGAAAATGTCGAGTACGACGCTGATACGCACGACTATCATTATTCCACCTACGACCACGGACTTGAGAACACGTGCTGTCACTGAATGTTTAAACAGAAATCCTGCCCTAAGGTACAGTAAGTAATGATTTACGAAACGACAGTTGATGAAAGCGAAACAGAATTATGAACAAACTACGACTAGACAGACGACTACTGACATATTTGATCTCAAGCTAGATGACAGACCATGGCATTAACTACAGGATCTCAGAAAACCGACGAAAACAGGAGATTTCACACATTTTAACTTTCTAAATAAGTTGATCACAACTAAAACAACTAAGACTAAATAACAAGTAGTCAGTCTATCGACTGGATTAGCAAGATATATTATAAAATGCTCTTAGATGAACCCGAGATCTTCGCTTCCCAACATACCACCATTTCGAAATCAAATACGCACAATCTGTCAAAAATTTCCAATATGCTTAATGCAAGAAAGAACCTAACGCACTTTAGCATACCCTTAAAAGGACGAATTCCGCGTTGTTCTTCTTTCGTTCTTATCAGGTTCGAGAACGTAGCACACCATTCACTGCAACATCAGCTAAGATTGTTCTGAAGTCACTCAGTGAATGGTATAGGTCGTAAAGAAAATACCAATACAAATTCTGCGTTGTTCTTCTTTCGTTCTTATTAGGTTCGAAAACGTACGACACCATTCACTGCAACATCAGCTAAGATTAAGCGAGATACAACCACAAGATTGTTGAGATATTTGCCAAACTCCGGACCTCAGAACAATCTCGTTAACGGGTGATTGCTGACGGCACTGATCGATAGAACTAGCTGAGAAACAGGCGAAACGAAGGACCCGCATGGTGTGGTGATGAATGCGTTACTCCTCGGAAAGTAAAATAGCGCGTTCGTTTCCCATCGCAGACACCTGCGCTCCGGAGTTTTGGAAATATCTCAGCAATCTTGTGGTTGTATTTCGCTTAATACCCTGCCATAAAAATTATAGAAGATAGAAAATAAAAAGTAAACATCCAGCTAAGATTGTTCTGAAGTCACTCAATGAATGGTATAGGTAGTAAAGAAAATACCAATGTCTCATATTTTCAATTCAAACACCTTAGTGAGTACGGTAGAGATAAAACTAGATGATTTTGTATCAGATTTTGAAAAGATTGGCATCACAGTATCCGAAGAATAATGAAGGATAGTAACGGTTTCAGGTCACAATTACAGTAGCAATCGCTAGATCAGTTTTTGAATATAACTAAGATGTAGTGGAGAATTCAAGAGACTGATTCTTCACGAATGCCAGTGAATATTCAGAAGAAAATTCCACCACGAAAACGGAAGTGTAATAAATTGATTTTAAAAATTTCGATCTGTTCCTTAGGTACCACGAAAACTATGTTAGGGAAGTTATACCAAATACCTAAAGAAAGTACCTACACTTCCTCTCTGTGCACGATAGAGGACTTAGATGGGACTAGTCGGACAAGCGAAAGAATGACTTTCACTCCACTTCGGTGTGAATAATCAGCAATATTTTAAGAATTGTAGCACTTATAGCAAAAAGCGAACCAAAAAGCAGAAAGCTTAGCAATCTTTCAGCAAAAAGCACTTCTCCGAAAATATGAACAAAACAACTGCAAGAGTTGGCAAAGGAAAAGAAAGGAAGGAGTCACTATACCTGGCATAATAAATATCCATCGCAGATGGCTACGAAGGAGCAGTCACTGAGGTTACGTCAAAAAAGAGAGCTAGGCCACGAAACCAAAACAATACTATCGCAAACCCAAACAGCTAGATCGATTTAACACTACCCTTCAAATCAAACAAGGAAGGTGACGATCGCCATTAAAAGGTGGTTAAAAACCAGTGGTCTGGAGAGCTCTCTGGTAATCATAGAAATTCCACCAATCCACGCTGTCAATGTCAGAAAATTGCACCACGAAAACGGTGTACTAAATTACTTCTAAACATTTCGGCCTATTCTTTAGGGACAAAATGCAAAAAGGCGTTGAATGCGAAAAGTGCTGGGATGCACACAATATGATAAATGTATTGTCGGGTGATGCAAGTGATGTAATAATGAAAAAGAAAAATCGAAGATAAAGTAAAAGCGATTTAAATTGGTTTTGGTCTGAATAACCCAGTAGTGTATCGACTCACTGCACATTTTCATGAGGATTTTCAAGTCTGCTCACAGCAATCCGAGCTACTTCCTGTCCATTTAATTCAAATATATGCACACGTTTAGAAAACGTATGCTTGATAAAATCTGCGAACTTCCCTTTACCTGGAAGAACTGGATCATCGAAAAGCTATAAAGAGTAAGAAAAACCACCTACAGTCATCAATAACTAATAGAACAGGATAGACATTGTGGTCCAAGAGTTGCAGATGGTCGTGAACTTCCTTCAAAACCTCCTGAAATTAGAGAGAATTACAAAACAGATCTATAGGAGCAAAGTGGTGACAACCGAGCACGATTTCGGAATTTTAGGTTTGCGATCGTGTATTTCTTGTCACCTAATGGGAGCCGATCAAAGCCGTAAATTACAGAGACTTGTATCTTCCCGGTTTTTATTGCGGCGGTATTACCTATACCAACACACCTTATTTTCGTCAAAACAAGAACTGTAATATAGCGGTGCTCTCTCTAACATAATGTGGTACACTCCAAGTGTTGCCAGAATCTTCACAATTGCTCTCCTAAAAATTATTGTCAAATATAAAAAAGAATTGGAAGAAAACAAATTCACACTTACCACACAACTTTCTCGTCTCTTACTGAAGGTGTCATCGACCCAGATTTTAATGCTATCCAAGGCAATCGAATTTCGTCACGCCGACTACCATCAGAATTCGGGTAACTCAATGGCCACTCTCCACCGTCGTCCATCGACATAGAGTCGAGATGATGTACTATAACATTAAAACGACGATTAGTTTTCAATATGGCACATATGTCCTGTTCCCATGGGTCTGCTTCCGTCCACTGTACAATAAGCTCGGCTTTGATCCGATGTTTACTGAGTGGAATAACAGCCAGTGCTACGGAGCGCCGACCATGTATGAATCCCTCAGCAGGTCGCACGTCGAAAGTTCGTAATCCTCCCTCCACATTAACCTACAGAAAATCCCATCTCCTTACCTCGTGTATAGAAAACAATCATAAAGTTAAGAATGATTTGCACCTTGAAGGCTACCGTTTTTTCAACAAAAGACACAAGGTGAAATATCAGGCCGCCAGATGATGCTGCGTAGAGAGGTGGATTCGCTCGTTCTAATTTGATAGACATCGATGCTAATGCTATCTAAAAAGATGCACACATCGAGCTAAGAAGACGGTTGAAAAGGTTAACACAGACAAGTATACGTCAACAAAAAGCAATAGTACAGTAAGAGAATGTTGAGCACGGAGAAATACGTGGCTGCGGAAAATATCACAGCGCTACAATCATATGAAATCCATGATCAGATGATAAACGATATGGTATCGGTGGAAAAGAAATGTTAATACTTTGTACTTCTGTTCAGTAAACACCAGGTGTCACTTCATTTCTTTATTTATGTACAAGCTGACGTTTCGGCGGATTTCGCCTAGAGAACGATAATTGAAATACCATCGAGTAATCTAAGACGCCAACTAGTTCGTAACTGCCTATACGACCGTCTATGTGCAACGCAAAATTGCATAATTTGCTCCAATGGTAGAGACGGTGATTGCATGAGTTCGGATACAGTCTATCTGATCTCTTGTAAAGCGTGCGGGGACGAATACGTTGGCGAAACGGGTAGACCACTCTGCGTACGTATAAAAGAATACCTAGTCGGCAAACGTAAACCAAATACTCCACTAGGCACGCATAGGACGCAAAGACATGACGAAGAAGATTTTGAAGTAGGGGTTACGATCCTCGCGCAAGAATCGAGAACACAAGCGCGCGAAACTCTAGAGGCATTCTGGATTAATTCCCAAGAATCCTAAAATGAACCGCAGGGAGGAATGCCTCATTGTCACGCGTGATATTAGGTAGTATATAAGCCTGTTACTTTGATGAGATGGGCACAATACGATTCAATGTGAACTCTGTGCGGTTGGTCTCCACGTGACATATTTAATGGAAGACTCATAGAAAGCGGTGAGTGTGCAAAACTGCGTTCAGCGTGATTGAAATTTTGGTTCAGCACTTTCCCTGTTTGGTTATGGAGGTGTTTAGCCGTACAGATTGCTATCAACTTAACCTTTCCAGGCTCTGAGGAAGGTGAAATCCACCGAAACGTCAGCTTGTGCGTAAATAAAGAAATAAAGTGACACCTCGTGTTTGCTGAACAGAACTACAAAGAATTATTCAATCAATGCCGAGGTTAATAGAAAGTCGGACTTGGGAGTTACTATAAGAATGTTAATCTACCTTGTTTCATTGATAAGCTAATAATGATACCGACTTCTACAGGAATAATTATCCAGGAAAACGAGTCATTATCACCTGACAATCATGACTATCAGTAAGAAGAGTCCTCTGTATAAGGGCATCTCCGGATGAGTATGCCTCATTCAAGAGATGGTCCAGCAAAGAAGATCCACCTCGATGCGCGACGAAAACACCACATCGAGAAGACGAACGACCGACTGTGGACATCTATTCGGATCATCAGCTCTGAGGAAAAGGAAGACGTCTAAAGGTTAGCCGAATAAATATTGGTAACAACCTCATGTTAGTCTATCAATGAAACAAGGTACATTGATCATTTATACCGCGGTTAAATGAAAGTCGCTCTATAACGAGAATGTCAACATTCAGCGTTTTCCTGTGCAAGGCTCCCAATTATAAGCAATAGTACAGTGGGAGAATTATTATATTCGCCTCGCGATTGCTGTAAAAAAGAGAACAACAGATTTATAATCCAATGCCGAGGTTAATAGAAAGTCGATCTTGGGAACTGCTCCCAATTATTTTTGAGCTATTAGAATGCTAAGATAAAGTTAGGTTACCGACTCATTTAGGATAACGGTTCGACACCTAATGTCAGCCGATAGAAACGAATAGCTGTCCATATTAGTCATTCTCCACCTATTATAGATCTATCCGCTCAGTTTTATTTACATAATGATCAATAGCCATCATGGAGCAATAAACTAATAAACAAATTCGATGAAGAAGCAAAAGTTACAAACTTTGCGTGCAAACTTTGTAGACTCTCAGGACCGACTTTCAACGCAGTTGAAAGGTATATAATGCCGAGATATTTGCAAAACTCCGGACCGCAGGTGTATGCGGTGGGGAACGAACGCGCTATTGTCCTTTCCGGAGAGTAGCGCACTTCACCGCCACACCATCCGGGTCCTTCGTTTTGCCTGTCTCTCAGCATACACCTGCGGTCCGGAGTTTTGCAAATATCTCAGCATTATACACGAGTTATATTTCGCAACATACCTTGCCATTAAAAAGAAAAAAGGCAGTAAATAAAAGGGTTAAGGCACTTTAAAGGGTTAAATATTCTAACGGTGCTACAAGAATTTATACAAAAATCCACAAGCAGATGCGCTACCCGTTGCATCTCTACAGTTCGACCGTAACAGGCACCCCTAGACTCACTAAGCCTCTCCTCATGGCTCCGAGATCGGAATATCGGCATCAGACCAAGCTCGGCTATTTGTAGGATTCCGAGGAGAATGGACTCCACCAGCATTCCACGACATTTACAATGGAGACAAAGTTCTCAAACAGCAGTTGAAACAATACGTGAAATGTTGAAAGATCGCCATGGATGATGGATGCCAGCAAACGAGTCGAATGCAAAAAGTGCTTGGATTCGCAAAGCAGACAGGAGATGGGTCGTGCAAAATAGCAAAAAATGAAAAATATCACAGGACTTTGAATGAATGACAGTTAGAACACAGGCACACATCAGACCACGTGTCTGTTACTGCCCTCGCCGGCAACTCTCTGCACATATGAAATGAAACAAACGGATGTATGGTAAAGAAAGGAGCCGAATAACGGAAATGAGTAGGTAACCAGTGAAAACGAATTAGCAACCAGTGAAGAGGTAACAAAAAAAAACTTGCAAACGACCCTCGCTGATTTCGAAACGTTCGGTGGCAAAAGTGAGCAACAGATTGATCACTGGGCAAGTTCGTGTGCAGACTCATTTAAAACGACAACATCTGGAAATCGAGATGGGAATTTGTAAACGGATGGAGCGCTGAATGTTTATATATGCTATCAGTGAAACGTGCTCGTTACCAAGCACAGAGAGAAAACAAAAAACAAACATGACCATGCCATGCGAACAGCGGCGTTTTCTTTTCTCCTCAGAACACTCGCAAGGCGGGGAGTATTCGTTGTTTATCGTTATATGTCATCCTTAGTGACAGTGAAATTGCCCAAAAAAAGTTCGGCCGGACTAGGAGCACACAGGAAAGGAAATATTTTTGACTACTTCAATAATAATAATAATAATAATAATAATAATAATAATAATAATAATCACGATTTTAACTTATTATTTAGTGCCTATTCTTTTTAACGGCAGGGTATATTTCAAAATATGACTTTCAATGATGCTGAGATATTTGCAAAACTCCGGACCGCAGGTGTCTGCGGTGGAGAACGAACGCGCTATTGTCCTTTCCGGGGCCAGGATCACTTGCCATCGATAGAACTAGCTGAGAGGCAGGCGAAACGAAGGACCTGTATGGTGTGGTGGTGAACGCGTTACTCCCAGGAAAGGACAATAGCGCGCTCGTTCCCCACCGCACACGGCTGCGGTCCGGAGTTTTGACGGTTGATAGCTGACGGCACTGATCGATAGAACTAGCTGAGAGACAGGCGAAGCGAAGAACCCGCATAGTGTGGTGGTGAACGCGTTAACCCCCGGAAAGGGTAATAGCGTGTTCGTTCGTTCCCCCTCCTCCTCCTCCTCCTCCTCTGTTACACGAGGTTGTTGCAAAACTTTGTTGCAGCTAAGGTCTGCGCACCTTCACTTTTTTCAGAGCCTTAATGCTTCGAGTCATGTTCGCTTGCGTTGCGGATCTTCGTACGATTTCAGATACTACAAGATAGGTACTCCACTCCAGTGTTAACTTACCAATACAACACGCTAATTATCCGCGCCAGGATTGAATAAAAGCTGGTATTCAAAACTCTATTTCTCTCGTAGTAGTCACATCGTGATTCTTCATAGAGGCGTAAAAACATAGACGAATGCCAAGAAATCTTTTCCTTAGTTCAATATCTGGTACCGTCATCTCTCATTTATAGACTGGACCTCGAAAAGCGACCGAATGACAGTGGTTAAACCAGGCAGTGCAGAAAGAAGGGTGAATTCACATCAGACGATTCGCAAACATCCGTCAAATCACTCGAGCCAACAACCACCTCATGAATCCTCGAAACCTTACACATAACTCCCAATGCTTTAACCTGTATGGCTCTAGTAACATAGTAGGACACGTAATTTCGTAGGACTTGAAGACGTCACATTTGCAAATACAGAAGAGACTTTGCCATGCCGCTCAAGGGCTTCGCATGGTATGCGTGCTGCTACTTACCATATATTGCTATTCTCCTGCATCTTATCACACTGCTGTCAGCATTTGAATTCTGCAGCCCATGCTGTGTATATTCCTGTACTTTCTCCTATTCCATACGATTGCCATGATATACGACTTTTTCTGCTTTTTATTTTACAGGACCGGTCGTCACGCTTATTGTGTTGATCCCAATATCTCAATATCTACCTTGCATTCGATTCGCTCACTCGCATCTATCATCCATGGATTTACCCAAATTTTCGCGTGTAGGCTTGGCTGCTGCTGAAGATTGTCGGCTTTATTGTGAATGTCGTTGAATACTTAGCGAGTCGTTTCCCTTTGGAGCCCTAAGATAAGTGTTCTAACTTCAACTGCAGAGAGTGAACTGCTCTAGACAACTCTGACACCCTGGAGCGACGAAAAGGTTGGTGAGCCCATAGATGGGGTGAACGAGACCGGAGGGTGTCGAACCAGCACCATACTCGTGATAAACAACCACGATTACTACAGCGCTACTCGCCCCTTACCCTTTGTGTAATGCTAGCACGTTACTATTAACGCGAAAATAACGATAAGACGGTATTAGCAGCGTAGGTATGAAAATATAAACAATAATCAGTAAGCAGAGCAGTAAGGAATACTAACAATGGCAAATTATTTCAAGCAGTAGTACCTAAGTGATATGAGGAAAAAGTAGTATTACATATTGTTACCAACGACGATATAGCTGGCCGGAAATGGGACAGATTACTGGTGTGCATCTACAGATCGATAACGAGCCTTATATACGGTTTGCGGAGGGGCCGGGCGTGCGAAACCTTCGAACCTGCAGATCGCTGAAGATCAAATCCTACACCCACAAAGTACAACGATGAAAACGAGGAGATCACAAGTATGGCGAACAGATGCGCAGGGCGAAGTGCTTTAACTGGTGTGCATCTAGAGGTCGATAACGGGCCGTGTATACGGTTTGCGGAGGGGCCGGGCGTGCGAAACCTTCGAACCTGCAGATCGCTGAAGATCAAATCCTACACCCACAAAATGCAACGATGAAAACGAGGAGTATGGCAAACAGATGCACAGGCCCAAGTGCTCTAATCCTAGGCCGGGATGGCAAAACACAAGCACATTACGAAATCAGGACATGGACATCGAAGACAACCCATGACAGCAGTGATTTCGCAACACAAAAGATAAAAATAACGTTAGTGCATCAGCGTAGTGGGTATCTAACAATAGGCGACTGCGATTAATCTTGCTTATATGGATGGAGAGCTTGATTGAAGTCTACGACGTGAGACGAAGCAAAAAAGTGAAGACTGCAACAACAAGCAATAGAAGGCTAGAATAAATGTCGTTAATAGACAACATAGTTAGCGTAGGAACGTGCGATAAATTGGGAAAATAGTAGCTATTCGGAGCAGCAGTTACTGTAAGCGCAGAAGTTCGAGATGATAGCTGATCGAATCCTGAAAGATGTGTATGTTAAACATGAAATTCGTCTAGTTTCGCAGAGGTTAATGAATGCATATGTGGTCTACACAACGAATTACGGTAGTCTACCGACATATCAACTACATGCTACTATCTACCAAGACAGGCCTCGTGCCAATGTGGCGACATCGCGGATATAAAAGGCTCGGTGCGCGCGTGACGCCGGGTAGAACATGACATCGAATCAATGTGTTTGTGAGGGCACCGCTAATCATAGCGCCATGCACGCCCTAGTGGTACAGATACCGCCAAATAATGTGCAAGCCTCCTAATCCTCCGGGTACAGGAAACTAGTATCACGTGGTCAGCCTGTGGTGTTTACCTGAGCACACTCTAGTACACCTATTCTAGGGTTTCACAGAGAATCAACTTGGCCAGTAATCATCTAAATGGATGAAGACGACCAAAATTCCCAAGAAGTAGGCAGACCAACACGCAAATGTGGATACCTTCTCTGACGATGGGTGCGAGGAGACGAATCGCATGCAAAAACTACTGAAATCCGCACGATACGCCATGGTAGATCATGTGAAAATAGGTTCTCTCACAAAATTTCCTTAATTTAATCACTTTTTATTCACTGCCTATTCTTTTTTCATGGCAGGCTAT